GCAGTACATACTCCAGAGAAAAAATGTCGCTTCTTAAAATATATTTATATGTTTTAAAATATATTCATCTGTATCATACGTTGAAAATACAGAATATTAAACGAAATCATACACTATAAACCTTTGAAAAATGTACGTTGCAAAATAATTTCCTATAGAAGTAAATAGTAGATAAAACTTAATTCAATAAATAGCAAATACTGAAACCTTTCTAACAGAGAATTATTTCACGCAATTTTATTAGATAGCATTGTTTCGGACATTTGGCACATTCGCAATAACATTTGGTTAGTCCCAGTAACCGCTTAGAAAAATTAACTCTCTCAAATCAGTAGCTTTGCTATCCTAAATTTAATAAGCAAAACTGGAATCAACAAATCTACTAACTGTTTTTTTTAGTGGATGCTCCTAATGACTGAAGGATTATTTGCAATCAACAAGAACAACACATACTGGAGGCTGAAGACGAAAGGAGGTTTCCGAGTCCAAATCCATGTCGCTATCTTAGCCATCGGCTATGTTTTATCAATTGCCGGATTTGTTATAGTTTATATAAATAAGGAAAACAAGGGCAAACATCATTTTATAAGTTGGCACGCCTTATTTGGTCTGATAGGGTTAATATGTACGTGTCCTCCGGTAATCAATGGAACTGCATTGTGGTATAAAAAAGAGCTTTCGATTTCCAAACCGAGACTAGTTAAATTTTTTCATGTTTTATCGGGAACCCTGGCGTTCAGCTTTGGTGCACTAGCATTAGTATTAAGTGTTTACACTAAGTGGTTTGCAAGGAAGTCAGATCAAAGTCAAATTACGTTTTACTTCGGACTAATTGCGGTTACTTATCCTTTAGTTTGGGCCGTCTATGGACCTTCGGTTAAGTTAGTGAATGTGATAAAAGATTACTTTATGGGAGATAAAGAGGACTAAGTCGTCTGGATAATTTTAACTGAGATAAAAGGAGTGTACATAATAATAAAATTAATTTGCAGTTTTCTATAGTGATAACCTATATTTGATTTTTTCGCCTTTGATATTGCGCCTATATTGAGCCTTTGTTAATCATATAAACATATAAAATACTTAGCCCTAAATCATATTAAAGATTAAGTGAATATGTATATGTAAAAATGTGAAGTAGTTAAAATATATTATAACTTCATATTGCATTTTTAATGTGTTTCATATATTTACATTCACATCTGTACATTATTAACTTTGAAATAAAGTAAACATTGAATTAATTTAAATTAATTCAGTAATTAAATTGAATTCAGCATTTGAGAGAAACTCCTTTATTTCCAGGACGTGATTTTAGGGAAAATTTTTGCCAACTCTCGTTTCAAATAAATAACTAAATTAAAGGAGTCGCTGATGGCATACTCGTCAAGGTTCATATACATTTCAATTCTGGATCACCCATCATTAATTAATGTTTTCCTTCACGAACCGAGAGTTATATGTATACACTTTCAGTTGGCACCTAATTATATAGTTGGGAAATACATCGAAATAATTAAATGTTTAGAAATGGCAAAATGTTTTGTAATCACCTAACTATAACCTAAGAAGCTGAATAATATGTAGCCAAGCATATAATTCATATGGAGTAACTTATCCACTTATCCTTTTGAGGACTACTTAGTGAAAATAGTACTACAGTCGATCCAAGTCCAAGACCGAACAACTCGGACGTACAAAACGGGATCACCAAAAAATGTATTTACGCTTGGTCTATCAGCCATAAAATATATAAATCTCATTTCACAGCTAGAGTCTGGAGTGGATGATTTAATACTTGATAATATATACTGATTATTATATATTAACATTATTGTTGAATTGTGATTTTGCATGCATATGTTTTTACCATAAAAACGATTCATTCAGTATGTATATGTAATGACTTTTATTATATTTAAGACGGAAACCACCCTGTTCCCTTTGAACACCCTGAGGATAGCTTAAATATAGCCAAAACGTTGGCCCAGATTCTTCTAAATAAATGCCTTCAAGAGGGCCAAATTCCGGATGGATGGCAGAACGCAGAAGTTTTTCTTAATATCGAGAATTACCGGCCAATAAGCCTGCTGTCTCACGTGTACAAGTTACTCACCAAAATTATCACCAATTGGCTGAGCAGCAAGTTCGATGAGTACCAGCCTGTGGAGCAGGCGGGGTTTCGTTCTTGATTTACGTTAACGTTTTCGTGTCAGTGTTTAGCGGTTATTTCTGTTCTTAATTTTTTTTTTGAAAATGCTCAACAGTTGATTTTTTTTCGACACTGGCACGAAGCTGTTTCGTTTTTAATTAAGGAAACTTAGTTCTCAGACACCAAGTCACATTTTTGATGGGAAATAAAAATCCAGAATTTCATAGAAAATAAAAGTTTTTTATGTTCAATTCTAATGTATGCACCCTTCCTTTGGACAAACTTGTGAATGCTTTTTCCCAATCCGGTTAGATTACATTTGATTGATCAAAACTTGGATAATTTATTTGACTATATTTTTAATATTGGGCGCAACAGGAAAAGCACATAATAATATTAACGTAAGTTCTAAATTAAAAAATGCTGCCGTATATTTCAAATAGACTTGCTCTTCATGTAATGCTCGTACCCTAATAGCAGCGACTAAAATCCTGTAGGTTTTGAAAAAGCAAAATAAAATGGTGAGATTGATTTCAGACGCTCCTATGTTATCTTATCTTTTGGATAATTTGCCTTAAATTTTAGCGATTGTCGCTAAAAAAGATAATATTTCCATGTTTAAATATTAAAAAATTTTCATATCATAAAATGCACACTTTCAATGACTCCTTTTCAATTAAAGAGATCATAATGATAAAATGTTTGAATATTTTGAAACAAATAATCACATAAAGACAAGAACTTTTTCTAAATCGATTATTTTTACAGTGCGCCATAAAAAAAATGTTTTGACGATTGTTATGTATATTTTTATTGATGTTATATTTCAAAAACATTTACATATACACTTTTACTGTCATGTTCAATTTTTTTGCCGTCAGAATACTATAATTTATTGTGGGAACAGGATTCAATACAAAATAATTTATTTTATAATATTGCACGTGGTAAAGTGTGTTTCCAACATACTTTTTACTACTACGACTACGATTTTCATGATTTTTGCCTGTATATGTACGATTATCTTCAGAAGTGACTTGCACCCTTTCAGCATTATTGAAATGAGGTTGCCTTTTAATAAAATAAAGCTCTTTTAAATTTTCTCAGTTTTATTGGCAATTTTTTTACCTAAATTCGATTTTATTCAACCGAAAAGTCTATACTGGATACTGTTTGACGCTTTAATGGAGTGCGACAAACGGCACATTTTGGAAGCTTTTTTAGCTTCTATGGGAAAATATAAGAGTATTTCAGATTGCTAATGTAATTTATATAAAGGAGTACTAAATAACATGCCCTACCGTGGTACATGTATAACAGCTTTTCTCTGACACCCTGTAGATATTGGACTGAATTTATATCAAAAGAATACCACATCTAAATGTACTTCTAAATAAAGATTATTTCAATGTGCCCTTCAGAGTTAGGAAAACAGGCATTTAATTGAAGAAATGTAACAATATTCTAATTTACCACCTTAAATTTTAACCCTGTAAAGTCTGTAATAAGCTCGTCATGAGATATCCCAGCTAAATAGCGTATGGAATTTCCCAATTAGGATGTCTTAAAATAAACATGATTCAAAAAGTTGCCCAAACACAGGCCTGGAACAGTTATCCTCGACTATTTTATGAATACTTTCCGCATAATTAAGCGCACTTTTTGTCCTCCATTGCTGTATGATTTTTTGGAGTTTTAATAAATGTTTGTTTCATGTTGGATTATGTTTTTTCAGCCGCTTGGAAGTCCCGTTTTTCCTGATCCAATTGAGGGATCAAAACTTGTTTGTTTTGCTGGGATTTGCAATTATTTGCATATATGGTTGACGAAAATATCAGCTTCTACCAAAGTTTTTTTCTGAATAAGGGTAATAATGCCAAGCAAGATACTCATCGGAATTTAACGTATTAATTAGGATTTATCATATTGCTCTGATTTCATCAAGGAAAATGTGTGATCATACCAAGTAAGTTCTTCCAAAAGACGAAAAGTTTTTGGAAACAATTACATACTTCAAAATGAATGTTTGCAGCGATAGAGATACGATACAAGACTGGTAGGTACCTGCATGTAGACTGCAGACTTAAAATTAAATTTAAACTTTCTAGTATATACGAAAGCAAAAGGCGCGACTTGTCTTCACTTACGTTATTGTTACAATAACAGTTCGAACAGTCTGGAAGACATTCAGATTTATCGCAAAACCATTTGGGAAAAGGCATTTGTTGAACGTTATTTTAAAATAGAAGACCGAAGTAGGGCTTCAGCCACTTCGAAGTATTTACATTATTTAGCATTAAATACATATTTAGCAGAAATTTACGGCTATTAAATTACTAATTTGTGCAAAATATCGGGTGTACATGTTTTTAAAATTTGATTAATTTATCATTAAGTCTTTCATCGTTTCATATCTCAAGAAAAACAGAGTGGGTTTTCAATAATAATACAAATCTTTGTTTTAGAGCAAACTGTATTCGTATTATATGCGAATGCAAAATTTAAATTTCACTCCGAAAGTTTCTGGTTCTATTTATTACGTAAAGTTTTCTAACTTTATTAGAGTTTAATATCCAGAAAAACTTACTGAATGCACATGAATTTATATAAAACCATTAAAATAAAATAACTGAATATTCTAATTGAATGCTGAAATTCTAGTTTTAAAAGTGCACTCACGTTCTTATTGCTATGTAAATTTGCAGTTGAAACCGAAATATGCTACTGTAAATAAAGCACACTGACCTAAATCTAAAATTTAAAAATTTATAGGAGATTGGAGGCAGAATAAGCAATATTTTCTTGTCAATCGTCCTGGAGATCACCAAGTGTTTCAAGTTCATATTAGAACGACATTCTTTACTAAAAACTCACTGGAATATTTACAGAACCCGTTTTTGGCACATTTTTAAAAGTCTATTGGCATACAAAAGCCATAATCATAATACAGATAAATAAATAAAATACTGCAATAACAATAATAATAAAACCCCGACTAGTGAAACGCACAGCTTCGAATATTGTAACTTCATAAATTAATTGTCTTTGTATAGATTTCGAAATATTTAAAATGCACTGACATTCAATAGGGATGTAATTGCATCTGAAATTACGCTGCATCTGCATCTTTCGCCAACAAGAAATATTCCCTAACGAACACAGCCGAATGCTTTTATTTATTGGAGTCGCAGGAGCTTGGCCACCAATTTTATTTCATGGCATTTCGTTATCTAGTTTGCACGTGTTATATTTAGACGATAGTCAACTTTTGGGTAGATAATGTTAAGGATCGTTGGATTTGACCAGCGGGCTGTTCCAAAATTGTTGGCCAAGAATAATGTTCTACTTTTGTTCTTACATTATTTTCAATAACCAAAAACCAATTTGATATTCCGAGTGCCACTGAAAGGTTTAAACCATTTTTTGCAGCGCATAAACCATTCTGGACACTTATCTTACTTAGGGACAACAAAGTTTTGATTCAATTTTCTCATACTGGTTTTTAAGTTACGTCAATTTTAATCGCCCAGTATACAAGAGCTTCTATGCAATATATAATAAAAAATATATGCATATATAATTATTAATCTGGAGAGACTAGACAATTAGGCAAATTAGGTGTGTATTCTAACACAAAATATCAGGACTCCATCGTCCCAAAATATACAATTTTCCTTTGTCCCGGCTCGTTTATAGCTTTGGTCATTAGACCTAATATCATCCATTCATTTAGTTTTCCACCCCCAGATAAAAATAATATATGATCCACTTAAAGAGAAAAACTTAATTAAAGTGCGTTTTATCAAATTAAATAAATAAAGTTGACGTTTAAGGGCTGCAGTGATTAATACGCAGGATATTTGATATGTCCATTATGAACATGGCATATTGTTGATTGTTCAAGTAGGAAAAGTCCCCCACATTAGACCGGCTCCAATATCAGATGCACATCAATATTTTTTTTTATAGATATTTTCATTTACCGGCATTCTCAGAATGATCTAATTTGCTTTTATTTGCATTTAAATGTACCATAATAATGTTATGCGTTGGTTTTAAAAACAAAATTTAAAGCTATTAAATTCGTTCGTTTAAAGCTATTAAAAGCGTTAAAAAAGTTCGAATAATTCTCTTCAAGATTCGAGTTCATCTTTAGGATATTGTTACGGAAATATTTAGGACAAAAGTTAGAATTTTGTCTTTTACTGTTAAGTCCAAATGATATTTGAAACCACTGAGATTTTTAGCAAAGTTTAGAAAATGTTTACTATTTTTTAGAACTAAATATGGAATAAGTAACAGTCAAAACTAGTCAAATAAGAAATAAGTAAATACACAAAATATATTACATTTTCAAAAGTAAACTATTCAAATCAAGATAAAATTTAAAGAATTTATATAAATTAATATTACAGTTATAGATAGATTACATTCTCTTTTGGCAATGTTATGTGCAGAAATAACAATTCATGCAGAAGCCCTTATTTGGTCAAAAACTTGCTGCCGTTTAAGATGTTTCTAAATACACATTTATTTTAGTGCATTTGCTATAAAGTTAAGGCTTTTATTAGATAATTATCAGTATTATTATATCAATTATCATCACGGAAATGAATATTTCCGCATGTTCCTGAGAGCGACGAAATAATCGCCTTATTAAGAAGCATCTAGCGACCTTTTCTCAAGTTTCAGCGCTTTATGTTTGGCCATTGTGGTTGGATGTTTTTATAGCTTTTAGAAGGATATAAAAAGAACTTTCAGCTATAGGACTAGAGCCTCTAGAAAATAAATATAATTCTTTCCACATGCAAGGAAAGTTAATAAATGGGTATTAGAAAAAAACACGTTATGTTGGACTACCGATATAATTTCAAAGCCAATTGTGATATCAGCCGATTTATTTATCGGAACTTTCGGAATTAAAAATGGTCGTAAGTCACATTGAATTATGATGCTGAAGTATTTTGCATTCACACAATTCAGTGCTTATTGCAAAGATAAATTTTTAAATAGGCCAGTGGATTGTTTCGTTTGCCATTGAAATTATTTTAGAAAATTACTTATTTATTCGATTTCTGAAACCCGTTAACAGTTTAAAGTGTTACAAGTTACTGATATAAATTCTTTGTTGGGTATTTCGCGTCAAAACATTTTTGACTTAAAAAGAGACAGAATTTCCTCACGTCTTTTAATACAGATTGATAAATAGTTTTCTTATCTCGCAATAAAAACGAATTATTTATCAAAAATATTTAATTATTTATCAAAAAATCGTTTCGTTCTTATTGCGAGATAAGAGCACTATTTATCAATCTGTAATAAAAGACGTGAGGAAATTCTGCCTTTCTTAAGGTCAAAAATTTTTTGAGGCAAAATACCCAACAAACATTTTGTGAAAACATGAATCCGCCTCAACAATATAGAACTATCTACGTATCTAGTATCTACGATATGAATTCTGTTTAAAACTGTAAAACCATAATTTGAAAAAATTATATCGCCACTATTTCTACCATCATCACCGTCATTGCGAATTTTTAATAAAAAATTGAAAAAGTAACATGTTACTTCTGGAGCCGCATTTTGGAACCTAATGCTAAAGTGAACCTGCAACATTGTAACCAGTTCCAGAAAAATTACCGTTTAGCACACCTTTAATCCTATAGGGTTTTATTACTCCGATTAGGAATCGATTAATATTGTTCGTAAAGAATTCGGAACATTAATTAATTTTTCAAGATCAAATTTTTCTTGTCTTGTGGGACTGATCGGATATTGTATATACGTTAAAGCCGCTCGAAATCCTGGTAAACAGACAAACTTTTTTCCGGTCTGATCTCTCTTATCTTACTCGCACTGCATACGATCAGATTGCTATTGCAGCTTTCAGTAGATCATGTAAATATTGCAGAATCGTTCCAAAATTAAATCTGATTACTATTAAACTACATTTTCTAAAACTGATTTTCACAACATTTCAAACCCTAATATTGCTTAAATAAGAGACAATGTTTAGATACAAAGCTCTTTCGTCCTCATATACAAGATCTAATAAACATTTTAATAAAGATTGCATACTTGTTGAGAGTATTTAATTGAAATAAAGAGCAATAAATGTTAACCTATAGAAAATTACAGTTCAAGAGCTTATTCATCCATCAGTTTTGATTTTTTTGGTTACAAAAGCGTTAAGAAATTAATAAGATCTTTGCGTTAAATTTAGGCAGCTGAAGATCTAACAACATACCCTGATCTATCAACACAATAAAAAATCACCAAATGTCGGACGAATATCCACAAGCCAAGATAAGACAGAGACGATAAAAGAAGATAAGAAGACAAGCACAATAAGTGGTTTAACTGAATTGGGTTGTTTCCCGAAAAATAGTCATGAAATATTAACTACTGCTGAAAGCGAGATTTCTGTTAGTTTCTGTACTGTGAGATGAAGAGTTTGAATTTCTATTTGCATTTCTATCTGCATCTAACTTTTGACTCTCTATTGAACTATTGAATTATGCAAACATTCGTATTAGTGAGGATAATTTATCAAACTTATCAGGCTGATACGGCGATAAATTATGTTTTCACAACGCCTGCAAATGAAATTGATTTTATTTGTAAGACATCTTGGCGGTATCAAAATATCTCAAGTTTCAGAAACCAAAATTGTTGAGATTTTCTTCGTAAAGCCTTACCGGTCCGTTTTGTAAAAGCTGCTTAAAAAACCGTAAAAATCCTTTCATGAATGTGCTTGCTGATTTTTGGACTCAATAAATAAATGAAAACGTTTAGTAATTTTTTAAAATTATTTGTGGTATATTACGACAGTATCATCTACCTCTTTCGAGGGATTCTCGACGACCCACGCCGTTGACATCGAGCCCTAGAAAGGGCTGTGCGTACGCAAAGAGCGGCAATCCAAACTTGCCATCACCAGGAATATATAAAGCTAGAGACACGTTTATGAAACTTATCATTTGTGCGCTTTTCAACAGGTAAGCTAGTGTCTGACCCAGTGTCCGGAGTAGCTGACTTTTCAACTCTTAACATCCAGTAAGTGCAACGACAAAATAATATATGTTTTTCACATAATAATTTTTCTATTATTTGAGAAGAAAAATTTTTTTATAAATGTGCTTCCAACTCATTTATATTATTTTTACACGCAATTTGCGCTATTTTCTACCACTATCATAAAGTGCTTCGTTCCTTGATTGTTGCAAAGAAATTGTTAGTATAAATGAAATATTTTACAATTCACTATATTTTAAAAAGTTTAATTAACATGTTTTGGTCGAAATAGATAACTGACAATTGAAAAAAAACCAATTTCTTGGTAGCAAAATAATTATTGATTTTGCCATCAATGATTTAAAAAAAGGAACGACTCAATTTTTATAGTTAAATGTTTAAATATATAACTACTTTAGGCCTAAATATGCACATGAATGAAATTATAGCACATTTTGTCATTTATAAATGCAATAGAGACAGTGACAATAATGACATTTTCACATTTTCTTAAAAAACTTTGAAATACAATCTGTTCAAATTATTTATAGAAAGCATTTTATATTATGAGGTGATAATGCGCTAAAATTTCAAATCGCATTAAGGAAGCGCACCTGTTGTATTCAGCAGCGGTTTACAAATAATAGCTTTACTTAAAACAAGAATACAATTAAGAACACAAAGTCAAGTTGTCGAAACACATTAAGTAGGGCTTTCAGCGAATTACGGTCAGGAGCGAGAACAATTGCATTCCTCATTTTCGCAACTCTTGCTGCTGGCATCCGCTTTAATTCGCTTAAATATTCGAAATAAAGACACAAAAAGTTTAAAGTGCAATTCCAAATTTGACACCCTCACTTTTATTAATATTAATATTCAGGCTAAATGGACCTTTTGCAAATTTGTACAGTTTTCATTCAGAGAACTATTCAACTTAGGAAAAACGTTCTGCAATTTTAAATGTGCCGCAAAAATAATACTCGATTAAAATTACATATTTTTTAAACTTGTGCCATTTTGTAAGCTTGAACTTGATGTGATGTGTTTCTAAGTAGTTAATATTTTACAGTTTTATTATTTGGTAATGCCTCTTAATTCGTATCGTCGTAAAGTAAGATTAACAATCAAAGCAGGCAACGAGAGAACATTTATGTATTATTTATCCCCTCGTATTTGAAACGTAGTCAACCAGATAAATAACTGAGCTGCGAGATAAATAATTCAGGTTCATGTGCAGTATGACTTTTTTGTGACACTGGGAAACATGTACTTTTATTTGTCTTTACACCGCAATATTCCTTAAATAAACCAACATATATCGTGTTCAAATTTCATTTTATTAGATCCCATGTATTATAGAACACATTTTTTTATTAGAATTTAGAATGCCCGAATTAAAAAGATCATTTCCACGTTGCAGTCAAATTTTCCAAAACAAAACCCATCAGATTAATTCATAATAATTATAGATAACCTATGAGAAAGACCAACTAGCGGTTCACAATAATCAAACAATAATAATTTCTAAATGTAAAAATAAAACACTAATTCCAATAAAAGTATTTTGAATATTTCACATTATGCGGCCAATTTCAATCAATCAAGTTTAGCAACTTCACACTAGATCGGAAAAAACATTAAAAACGTGAGTTATGCTGGTCTAGGGACTGACACGCTATCGAGCTCGATCGTCTCGAGCCTACAATAAAATATCGGGTCACTGTTTTTTTATATCGTTTTAATCCTACTCTGCAAAAACTATACATATACACATCTGATACTCAAAATCATTATTTTATCTATACACTTGAATTTAGAAAGAATTTTTAATTTTTTAATCATCTAAATTCAAGTAAAAATCGCCGTTCCCACAAATTGTGACTATTTTACTTTTCTTACGTCAATGTGAAATGTACTTTGCTTGTACTTCCATTACAAAGTTTATTAAGCAACGAAGAGATTTAATGATGTTAACGTGCTCACTAAGAAAAAATTGCAACGTAACATGTCTGAATAGAATCCTGCACAAAACGTTCAATTACTCAACTTTAGAATTTCTTCCTTCTTCTCCTGCTTACGATATAAGTTGTGGGAGTCATGAATATAAAAAAGCATTTGATAAGAGATAATGGGCCGCCGGCTTAATGAATGCTACAGAGATTATTCCCACAACCCAGTAGATAGCGACATATTATGCATTCATAACAAAGTTTTCAGAAAAGTTTAATTATATTTACAATATTAGTATTGTTGCGTAAAATAAGGATTGTAAGAGAATTAGGAAAGAGGCAGTTTATCATGATTTTTGGACGAAATAATTCATTCATGATAAATCAGTCGAGTTTGCCCTATTCATCAAGTTAAACATTTTGTGGCTAGGAAATAAATACATCCACTTTCTAAGATGACAATGCTAATGGATGAATGTTCTTGAAATCATAAGTCTAGAGGAGTCAGATCTGAACTTCAGACTGGCCATGGATCGTGCTCTACTACATATGTTTCCGTAGGCATCTCCTTTCACTAAATCTAGTAAATCTAGTTCTATAGTGAAATTTTTATATGGGTTTTCTCATACCATTTCCTGAAATGTTAGTAGACTTTCAATTTGCAAACAAGTTAAATATTTACGACCTAAAAAATTAATTTCCACCTTGAAATGAACGTCCTATAAGATGATCGTATAGCAGAATTTTAAACCCAATATTATTACAATATAAGTTTTTACATTTAATTCGATTTGTTTTTATACTATACTAGAGCTACTTGAACAGTTGAAATATTGATTTGAGAAGTCACGGGTTTTGGGCACAATATAAGAAAATTGTCTGAAGTTTTGTGCATGTTTCAGTATCAAAAATAGGAGTTAATTTTTAAAGCGTAGAAGCCCTATTTGACCAAAAATTGGTTCCGGATTTTGTAGGTTTTATTCTCCTAAATGATGATACACATTCTTCTAAATCATGAAAAAGGTAACTTTTTTCGTATTCCTAAATGTTTTTCTGTCCAAAGGCGTGCAGGAGAGTTTAAATGCAACAAAAATTAACGAACATAATTTCAGAAATACTTACTTACCTTACTTACAACGCAATTTTTTCTTTTACATTTTTGACGCGAAAAAATGTAGAAGTACCATCTAGTATCCATTTCACATAAATAAATATAAGATGTATTTAATTATAATTGCTAGGAATGCTGTTAAAATGCACTGAACTAGAGAGTGATCAGAAGATAATTAAGCCATAGTAAGCTTGTATACAAGACCAATATTATTACAAATAGGAAAAATTTCCGACTCTAAATCATATATTAAGAAATAGGGACAACCTATTTTCTAACGATATTTCGTCTAAACGTTGAAACATCCTTATTTGCTTAGAAAACTAAATTTTAAATAAAGTAGCAGTGCTAGATTTGTATCTGTTGGAAAAGCCAAGCTTTTTAACTTTATACAGGCAGCTATTACTTGATTTAGTAAGCTATGCGTTACTACTCTGACATCATGATAAAGTGACATCAGATAGGAAAATACTTCTACCCCAAGCTAACCAGATTGCTTACAAAACGGAAATTTCAAATTATATCGCTGAATAAAGTGATCATTGTTTCCGATGATTCCGATGTAAAGGCTTCAAATGAGGTTTCGTATCTGATCGATAAATCTAATGATTTAGCGTTCATAAGTTCAGAAAACTTTTCAAACATTACTTGAATTTACTTAAACTCCATTTCTTAAATAATGTGAGGCCCGGATTTCTATTACATAGCTTTAACTACTTGCCAAATAAATTATTCAATGAAATGCATAATTGCAATTTACGAGTAAATAGAATAAAGAAAATTGAAGTTTTAAGATTTACAAGAACGCAATGTTTTTTAGGTCATAATATATGAGAAAACTGACTCCAACTCACATAAACGGTGGTTAAGCTCAAGGGATCTGCTAACATGTGAATCTAGGGATTTCGTCATTTCTCGAATTATACAATTTAAAATTGTTTACTATAAACCAGTAAAATCTAATATTGTATGAAAGCTGAAAGTGAAACGTGTAGTCCCTATTCGAGGATGAAGATAATATAGTTAAAAACAGTAAATGTCCTTAATTAAAAGTTTTATCCTGTAGGTTTGACTTCAGGCATTACTGCCACTTAAAAAATATGCTCTTTAGCAGTACGAAAATTCCTTAATTGGAGTAATGGTACGTTTGAAGTATGAAACTTATCTATTTGAAGATGGGGAAGCATCCATACCCATTTTTTGAGCTTTCTCTCAGGTATTAAATTTGCTGCATTTCCACGTGCCAGATAAAAAAAATCCACCATTCTTAAGGTCGACTTTATCAATTCGCAAGTGTCCGCATCGAATATAGAATTGCGTGGCATTAAACGCAACATTCTGCACCATGCAATCTTGTTTCGCTTATTAAGCGATAGTTATCAATATGGATTTATTCGGCATTCTGCTCGACATTACCTATTTATACAACAGCTGTGATATTATACGGTTGATGCAGATAATACTAGAGTAAATCGCTGCTACGCTGTTTGCATTTGACCCCAAGTATTAAAAAATCGGGATAAATCTCACAAAATAACATCACATGTGTGTAAGCGATATTTCAATGATTTGGACACATCGATTCGTTTGAACTGACCCACGATCTATTTTAAGAGTCGAAAGTGGGTGCCAGTTTAAAAATGTGTCCATACAGTAGCAATAGTTATGATTGATGGCTCAGTCTGAGGTCCTCAAATAGACTGTGTTTAAGATCGTTAGAGCAACAATTCTTCTCAGCGTCTTTGGAAGACTTAGGCTCTTCTGCTTCAATCATCTGTTCTGAGGATAGAGAAAATGACAGGAAATTCGTGAAGTCATTTTTTTGGAAATAGTATTGTACAAATAGATAGTTTGCAAATTCAATTCTTCCAAAAGCTGTGATGTGAGTAAACATTTTTTAACTACGTGTGAAATAAAATGCTCATGCAGCTATGGTGCAACCTCATGAGTACCTCTGAATATAATTTTTCGAAGACGGTTAT